ATGTCACTAAAAATATTTGAAATAAAACCAATCATTACTAACTCCATATCCTAATTAATTTTAAAATTAGTTGAATAACATACAGAATGAGCTAAGAACCGATGCTTCTCTTAATTGATATTTTATCATGATAAATGTAGATTATTCTTGTTACCAAGAATCTACAAATCCTGTGCTATATTGTTAACAAAATTAAGAGCACAATGTCAGATACTTTAATTAACTTTAATAGAAAAGAAAAAAACTGGTAGTCTTTTCCATTATATTGACACTGGGGATACTTCATTTATTGTTTTGCATCTGTATTAGAAAAGACAGCACATGGCTACAAAAACAATAATTTTAATTCCATAACACGCTGGCTAATATAAATTCTGCATTTTCATAAATCCCTGTAGATTAAATTATAACTAATAGTATAAAAGGAAATAAGGTGCTATTCAATTTTCAGTTTATTTTTAGAATTTTTTTTCTATTATCAACATAAAGAAATTTGCGTGGTATATTTTAATTCTGATTTATGATTTCTAAATACTTTCANTTTCTGGGGGAGGGTCTTGTTAGAATCTGTCTTGAGATTTCTATAGTGTCTTTAAATTGGGACTCGCTCAATTCGAATTTTTCTCTCTTAAAAAATTTAGATATTTTTTCTAATTTATTATAAAAGCTTTTTTTTTTCCCTTTAATCATCCTAAATGTTTCAACTAGCCTAATTGTTTAATTTATTTAATTATTGTAGTTGATTTAATTTTGTAATTTTTCAAATCAATCGTAAGAGAATGAAATAGGAATTTCTATATAAAACTTTCGTAGGATATTATGAAGACATAAATCTTTCGCGTTGTAGGTAAGCAAATGTCTCTATTAAATCAATTTTGATAAATCAATTTGATTTTGGGGAAAACGTGAAAGGTTTGCGCAGTTTTTGATATATACATTGAGATTTTTTGTTTACTTATTTAAATGGCGGGCCACTATTCAATTCCCTCTTTGACTGGCCTGCTTGTCAAAGCTCTTGATTTGGTCTGTTATCTGGATAAAATTGATACAACAAATGTAATTTTATTTTAATTGTACTTACTGCTAATGGACAGAAACAACATAAGATTTTGTTTAATAGAGCATTGAAATCAAATGATCATCAGCTAAAAAAATTTTTAAACATAAGAAAAAAACATTTTAAAACTCCTGTATGACCAAATTTTCCATGTTTCCCCTAAATATGAAATATGTTTAATTTGTAATATTATATTTCGTACACGAAATTAATTTATTTAGTTAGCTTAAGATTTTATTGTGAATTGATCATATTTGTTTCTATTTCTAACTCCTTTTTGTTGTTATTATGTGTTTAAAGTTAATAAGGCTTCTCAATTTTTTCATTAATAAGGCTTTTGAATTTCCTAATCAAATACGAAACAATTTCTTAAAATTATAAATCGAAACCATATATGACATTTTTACAGCTTTGTTTTTATTTTAAACGTGTGCATTTAATTTAATGAAATAAAAATAAATAAATAAATGAAAAAAATATTAATAAATGACTGAATGAAATAAAAAACTTCGTTGTCATATCATCGTTAAAATAATTTGAGTATTAATAAATTATTTAAAAATAAGCCAATTTTTAGTTTAAAAGGTAAAAAAATTTTTGATTTGTTTAAAAGGTAATTATGCTCCATCATTCGATCTGTTTAATATTTGCTCCTAAGGATCAGAATTTTTTTATTATTTTACTTCATTGTAAAAATTATATATACTTAATACTTTCATGTGATATGCTGCAGTTTTAAATACCTAAAAGATGATTGAAATTGTCAATTCAAAAAACAATTAATACCTTAACAATTAATACACAAAAAAGTAGTAAAAAAATTATTGTTGCAAACAAATTAATAATAAGTAAGAAACGAAATAAAAATGATATCAAAATATGCTGAATCACTAGTGAGACATGTGGGATGAATGACATCGAAACCAATTTGATTGAATAGTAAAACTAGAAGGTGTTCCTAAAATCCGGAAATCAATCAGGTTTCAATTTTGTTTTTTGTTTTTTTGTCACGAAATTTATCAGGGGCTATTCGTTAGAGTTCAATATGGGTAATGTTTTTTTCTTAGATTAAATATTAAACATTAACAAATATTTGTCTTTGAAAACCCTTCATTCTATAATAATTATTAATTCTATATTCATTCTTTAATAATCTTATAATAATTATTCTATAATTGTAATTCTAAAACCAATTGCTAATTGATATAGAGCTTTAGTGTGTTCCATTGATATATTAAATGTCTTCCATTGACGGAACCCCGACATTACCATTAAAGTTTATTAAGGTAATTACGAATATTATAACCTAAAAACAGACTATTTTTAAAATATTTAATTCGAGGAATGTAGATTTTTCATCGTTTTATCATTTTCAATCTTAAATAAGGTTTTATATCCGACAGTTAAATTTGCAGTCCTTGTTTTATATCTAGTCTTATTTTGAATTTATTTTTGGTGCATATACATAAGCTGAAAATGAATAAGCCGAATTATGGTTTACTTCTAAATGAACTGAAGATGCTTGTTATAAACGTTAAAAATGGTAATTTGGAAAGCATTTTTCAAGAATGTCAAGTATCCAAATGACTTAATTTACAAAATTTAAAAAAAAATTTTTTTAAATATCCGCAAGGCAGGTGTGTATATTTGGGGCTGATGATTATGAAATTTAGCACGAAACTGTGATATCGTGGGTTCTATTCCAGCTGATGACGGTTTTTAATTATTATTTCTTAATACTAAAATGTTTCTTCTAAAATGTTTTTCTTATTTTTTTAAGTACGCATGTTAATAACTAATAATTTAACAATTATTTAAAAAACTGGAAGGCTCCGCTACCTGTTCATTTTGGTCACTAATCCTCGTGGTTGCTTCTCCATTCATTGCAGGTTAAAAGGAAAAACGGTTTCTTTTCTTTTCTTTTTTCTACAAAAATTATGATCGAATTACCATTTACATTTTGAAGATGATTAAATTTAAGCAAATCAATAAAATTGGTACCAATCAATGAAATTAGAAAATTGGTACCTGACGTGGAGTTATTACTCAATAAAGTTGGACTCAAGGGGTAGAGCATTCTCCTCCGAATGAGGTGCACCGAGTTCGAATCCCAGTGATAGCTGATCGATATGAATTCAACACCCGGCTTTTACCGACCACAGTGCTGACGTGAAATATCCTCAGTGGTAGGCGGATCATGGATTATAGTTCCCTTGGTATCAGACTAACCGTGGGAGTATTTCGTGGTTTTCCTCTCCATGTAACTCAAGTGAGGGCTAGTTCCATCAAAACGTCCTCCACGAAGGCAAAAATTTCTTACACCACTTGATCCTGGAGTTCTCTTGTCTTCTGGATTGGGTTCAAAATTACAAGGCTACGGAGTTAAACATTAGTAGTAGTAAACTCGAAATGGGGTGGGCTGCTCAATGATTGTTATAAAATAAACTAATAATTTGGTCACGATATCTTGGTTGATGGTAGGGCTATGGACTCGTGTTCGTGAGAATGGGAGTTCGAATTGAGCCGGCCGAGTAATACCCAAGTATAAAATGGTGACTGGTGCATGTTAAATCTGTCGGGGTCATAAACTCCTCCAAGTTCTCTTAACAATTCAATACCTCTGGGTACTGATCCAGGAGTTTCCTTGTCTTCTGGATTGGTTATAAAATTTCAAGGCTACTTAGTTAAACATTGGTTCAAAATTGTGTCAATCTTTCAACAGCGATTATAAAAAAAAAAATAATCAAACTGTATTTTCTAGTATTTTTTCTAACTTCTTGCATATTTTCTAAAACCTTCAAAATTTGATGTTTCTAAGTCTAACAGATTTTGATCTGCAAAGCAAAATGTATGTCTTACAGGAAATTGATTTTGATGATGTGATAGAAGATTCACCTCTCAAAAAGCACGAAAAGTATTGTTACCTTAAATTTTCGATAAAAATAATGTATATAAGCTTTTATAATTAATTTACATGTTTTTTACTCTTAAAATAAAATAATTTTCAAAAATTATTCAAAATAATTTTTTTTTTCTCTAATATTACTCATAAAGGACCCCCAGATAATGACAGGCCCAGGGCCCCTGTAAACATAAAAACGGCTCTGATGATAAATGTGGATTATTCTTGTTACCAAGAATCTACAAATCCTGTGCTATATTGTTAACAAAATCTGAGCCCAATATCAGATATTTTAATTAGCTTTAATAGAAAAGAAAAAAACTGATAGTCTTTTCCATTATATTGACACTGAGGATACTTCATTTATTGTTTTGCATTTGTATTAGAGAAGACAGCACATGGCTACAAAAACAATAATTTTAATTCCATAACACGCTGGCTAATATAAATTCTGCATTTTCATAAATCCCTGCAGATTAAATTATAATTAATAGTATAAAAGGAAATAAGGTGCTATTCAATTTTCAGTTTATTTTTAGAATTTTTCTCCATTATCAACATAAAGAAATTTGTGTGGTATATTTTAATTCTGATTTATGATTTCTAAATACTTTCAAAATACAATTTTTATGCAAAAAAAATTAAAAATTATTCAATTTATTTAAAAAAAAAAATTTAAACTACGTATAACATTTTATTTCAGGCTGCATTATTTATAAGCATGCTTGAAGCTAATAATAAATGATGAAATTTTATTCTTAATTAAATCAATAACCTTTATCATTTTAATCTAATGCAGTTCATTTGAGATTTTCAGTCATTTTCACCATGTCATTATGTATATAACATAAATATATATATATGTAGACATAAATGCATATAATGTATATATGTCAACATATACACATATAATGACATGGTGAAAATCTGAAATAGGCTGCATTACATTAAAATAATATATATATATATATATATTACTTGAAAAAGTGTTTTATATTTTCTGTTTCTTCATATTAAAACTTGTATTGATTCAATGAGAAGGAAAAAATCAAGAAATGTTTATTTCATAAATTGTTTGGCACTGATGCAATACATATTGCCAAATAATGACATTAACTAATGCAGAAGCATGAAACTTTTATATACATTAACAAAAAAATAAGACTCACTCTTATACATACATTATTAATACACTATTAAGTTTTAAATTTTTATTTGCATTTTAGGTGGAACTGTAAACTGATCTAAAAGCATATTCAAAATCTTCAGTTATTCTTTTTTTTTTTAATCAACAAGTTTTATCAATAAATATAGAGCTAAAGCAGAGATTTTTTTTTTTTTTATCAAAGATACTAATTAATGCATGCAAAGAACTTTTATGAAATACTTTCAACTGTTTAGTTACTTTAATAAAAAATAAAAAAACATTATTTAAACTTTTATTTTTAAAAGACATAAAAAGTAAACAAATTTTAACTCAAAAAAAATATTTTTTTTTCCAACTGTGATCAAACTATGGTACTGTAGTTACATGGAAAAACAGAAGAAAGCTATTTATTTAGACTAGGGTTGGGATTTCGGACGTCCTAAACTCATTTTAAGCAGGACACGTTGGTCCTACTGTCTTAAACTGACTAAAATTGTCCTAAACTGACTAAAACTGTCTTAAAGTGTCCAAAACCTTCAACTTTGGTAAAAGGTAAAAATTTTATAGGTGTAACCTTTGTACACATAATAATTGCATATATTAATAAATATTTTATATTTTTTATACAATTTGCTATAACTTATTAAAGGAAAATAACATAATATACATACAATATAATAGGAAAATATTTATAAGTTTTGAAGCTCCACATTTCATTGAACTACAAAATTGAATACCTTATCCTTTAAATATGAATAAATATTCTTTTAATACTGATAAATTATGTTTTTGCATAAGGATAAATAATGCAATATTAAAAATAATCATAAACTTTTTTTAATAATACAAAAACTTGTTTTCATTTTGTTTCTTGTTCAAAAATAAACCTTTTATTTTCCCCACTATTTTTTTTTTAAACTGTGACATAATTTTAATAAAAAGGTTTTGGACAGGATGCTTTAAACCCTGGTTTAAACCGTGGATTAATCCATTCTGTCCAAAACCTTGCCAACTCTGATCTAGACTGAAATGTTAAATTCTTCATATTTTTGTATATTTCATATAGATCATAGAAATGCTAGAACAAAAAAACTGTCTTTAAACTCCATAATAGACTAAAAGATCTAGTTTTTAATTTTATGTTTGACCACTTTACCTTTTTTGACACAATACTACAAAAATATTTAGTTTTTAGTCAGTATGGATCACCTTATTTTTACTAAAATAACTATTGCTTTAGTTATTTTAAAATTTATTTTAAAATTTTTTAGCCAATATGCTTCAATTTGTGTTTAACTAAATCACTATTTCTTGAAAAACTCTTATTACACATATTACACGAATGAGGTTTTTCACTAGTATGGACCCATTTGTGCTTAGTTAAATCAGTATTTCTTAAAAAACTCTTATTACACATATTACAAGAATAAGGCTTTTCACCAGTATGTTTCAATTTGTGCCGCATTAAATCAGCTTTTCTTTGAAAATTCTTATTACATTCATTGCAAAAATGTGGTTTCTTACCAGTATGGATTGCAAGGTGAGCATTTAAATAACATTTTCGGGAAAAACTCTTATTGCATTTAACACAAGCATAAGGTTTTTCGCCAGTATGAACAAGGTAGTGTGTACGCAAATAACATTTTCGAGAAAAACTCTTATTGCATATAACACACAGGAAAGGTTTTTCGCTATTATGAACAGATTGGTGTCTAGCTAAAAGAGACTTTTGTGAAAAACTCTTACTGCATATACTACAAGAGAAAGGCTTTTCGCTAGAATGGATAAGACTGTGTTGAGTTAAGAAGCTAGGTGTAGAAAATACTTTATCACAAACAGTGCAAGAATGTTTTTCACCAGTATGAGAGATTTGATGTCTTTTCAAATTACTTTTTTGAACAAAACTCTTGAGACATATAGGACAGGAATAAGGTTTGTTGCCAGTGTGGACAAAATTATGAAGAGTTAGGTGACCTTTTTGTGAAAAACTCTTGCTACAAATATTACAAGAATAAAGTTTTTCACCGGTATGAACAAGAATATGAGCAATTAAATTATATCGTCGCAGAAAACTCTTACTACATACATTGCAAGAATAAGGTCTCTTGCCAGTATGAATGATTTTGTGTTTCCTTAGAAGAGAGTTTTTAGAAAAACTCTTGTTACATACATTACAAGAATAAGAATCTGCACTAGTTGCAACTGAACAGTTACTGGCTACAGGAAAATTATTCACAGAAGTTTCAGAAGACATGATACTCCTATAATGGTATTTTTACTAAGTCAGGAATACACACTAGTAGTTGGTCAAACCACTTTAGGAAAGCAAAAAGGATTAAGACCTATGACTTTAGCAATTAATTATTGATTCTTTTTAAATTCTCTATTTTAATGTTATGCAGTGATGCAAGCAGCACTTAAAAACATAGAGAGCGGTAATAAAACTACTAAATTTTATTTCTTCTCAAGTTAAATAACACATTCTTAACTATCAAAAAACACTTATGACAGTTAGGTAAGTATTTCGAGATCTATATCATGCCATCTATATTTTTAAAATTAACTGTTAATTTTAAAATTTTAGTTTTCACAAATAAAATAGCCACTACTTTTTTATATTTTTTGGTGCAGCTTGCACTCCTGGTTATGTATAAATATTAGCCTTATTTTTAGAGGCAAAAAATTGATAAAAATTTTTTTAAACAAGTTTTAATTTAAGACCCATAAACTTTACTTTTGATAATAAATCTGCAACACATAAATCATTAAAATGTAAAATATGTCACAATTTTAGTGCCATATTAAAAAAACATGTAGAAATAATGAAGAGTGCATTATAAAATTTTTACTGACTGTGATTTGAACAGCACTTCTCTCTTTATTTTACAAAAAAACTGCTTGAATAATCAAAGCTCAAAATCTCTAATGAAACCAAGAAATGTTTTGTAACCTAAAAAAGAAAAGGAAAAGTTATAATGGTGTAAAACTAATCTAGCAAAGACAGACGTGTAGACTAAAAAAAAAAAATAATAATAATAAATAATAATGAAGGTAAATATTTTTAGTATTTCTCAGTTAGATGAGCGTAAGTAAATTGATTTCTTTTTATTAATGTCCATCTTATTTCAAGTTTAAAAAATAATCTTATTAACTTACGCCTGGCAATCTGAATGTTACTCATAAGATATTTCTGATGGTTTTGATACCTATATGATTATTACCTATATGAAAAAAATCTATCTTTAACCTTCTTAAATTGATATAATTCAATGCAATCACAAGGGTCTATCCAGACATTTTGTGAAAGGTCCTGTTTTTGTGAAATTGTGAAAAAATTACTCACATTCTTTCAACCAGGGTCCTGCTTTTATGAATTTTTGCAAATAAGGTCTGGTTATTGCAAAAAACTTTTTCAAGGAGTTTTTAAATTGTAAATAGATACAAGATTATGCTCAGCACTGTAAAATTATAATTGAAAAAATTAAATTTTCAAAAATAAACAGCAATTTCTGCTTCCAAATTAGAGATGCAACATACAAATATTTGGTATTTAGCCTATACTGCTGAAAGCAGAATATTTATTTCGGACGAATAAAGGAAGAAGCGTCTGCCGAAGACAAAACTTAGTTAGTTTACATCTGTCTTTCCCCCCCACCTTCCTCGGAAGGATTTATTCGATTAACAAAACAATAATGAAGATAAACAAATTTGTGAAGAATCCGATTAAAAGAAAAATCATTTTGTGAAGGGTCTGTTTTTACGTTAAAATATTTTGAGAAGGGTCCATTTTTATGAAAAGATATTTTGTGAAGGGTTCGTTAACAGACCCAAATTTCTCCTAAACAGACCCCTGATTCAGAAACAAAATTTAAAGAAATAAAAACTTTTAAATATCATTAGACATTAACACATAATAAACTTAATTGTTGAATCAAGAAATGAAGAAAGATTACCAAAACATCAAGCATTCATTTGAAGAGGATTTTTCTCTTTTCACTGCGGTGTAACAAATAGTGATTACTATAGAGACTCTACTTTAGGGATGTAACAAATAGCCATTTGCCCAAATAGCAACATTTTTTTCTTTTTAAATATCAATAATAAATAATATTTTTATATAGAAATAAGTTTGGTAATTATTAAAAAATAATCAAAACTTTGATGTATTATTGGTATGGGGTAAAGTGGAAAAAAATCAATAGAAGTATTTAAGATAATAACTCTAATCAGATATTAAGATAATTAGACATATTAAAAAAAGTAATAGCAATTTTAAAAAAATTAAAGTTGGAAAAAAGAGAAAAATAATATTTTCCAGAAGAAAAAAAATATCCATTAACATTAAAAGAGGTAATCTATTAAAATTTCTGCCAAAAAAAACATTGTCGAAAAATAATTTTCCAAATAAAACTTTGTTGAATGTTCAGCAAAAGGACTGAATAGGTTGAATAGTGGACGGGGGGGTATTTCTGTATTGTGATCTGTCACGCCAACTACATGCCAGCCATGGTGCCAAATAAATTTTAAACTTGCAATTTTTAAAAAAAAGAAAAACGTGTAGATGTTTACCTGCGGGTGGCTACAAGGTATGCCTTTAGAGTTGGCCTCTTTTCGTGATGTTTTTCATCAAAATGTTTTTTTTTAGCTTCTTGCGGATCACTGACTGAAAGTTGCCAAGACTTGGTGATTTTTCTGCCACAGATCACAGTACTAAAATTTTCCCAGTGGTCGAAAACTCTCTGCATCCCTGCTCAATATGTTTTTCTCTTTAAATTGTACATTTAAAATTATTTTGGAGCGTTGAGCTTATAGTTGGCATAATAATCACAGTATGGAAATATCCCCAAATAAAAAAACATTTGGGGAGGAATTTATGCAAATTTTGTTCGACTCACGTCACCTTACAATGTAAGTTGGCACAGTGTAGTGATTTAATAGTACATAAGTAACTATAAAATAAATGTAAAAGTACTGAATTAAAATTTTAAAAAAATCTTACTATTTATACCTACTGCAACCAAATTAAACAAGCTCAAAAATTTCAATTATGATTTAAAAAGTTACTAAAATTTAATTTGAATACTGAATTATAACGAAATTTAAATAAAAAGTATAAAAATATTAAAATAATTCTGTACTGTAAAAATAATCAATTACTTTAAAAGAAAAACAGTCAGTAAAAATAGCCTGATTCCTGTCATATGCAAACATACACTTCAAGAATTGTTTTGGCGGAAGGGTTTAAATTTAAACATGATTTAATGTTGTATCACACATTTTCAAAAATTAAAAAACACCCAACTTACTTCAAGTAGATTGATAATTTCTAACTTGGTAAAAGTAAGAAACGAAAGATCAATATTATGTATTTTTCAAGAGCGTGTCATTTTGATTAATTTACAACGAGGAGATTTTGTTGCTGTAAGCTTTATGCATTACAAAATAAAATTTTACAAAAAAATGCAGGCTTCTTTGATAGTATTGAATATAAGTTCTATGCTTTCCTATTTATGTAGCATTACTGTTTAATTTTACACAACAATGTATTAAAAACAGACGAAGCATTTTCTTGAAACTGCCATCCCATTTTCTGAAGAGAAATTCGAGTTTGATAAACAGAAACCATTCGATTTAATTGTAGATTATGGAAAAGAGCGGCAATCTTTCTTCATTAGCTTATAGCTTCCATTCGATTTAATAAGCAAGCAACAATCCAAGAGAAACATATGGTTAACAGTTAAACTCCTCTCAAAATAATCAGGACCACAGCGCTCATATACGCCATCTGGGGAGAAGACCGGTTCCATGTTTTTCCTTTTTCTCAGTTGTGTTGGAATGTATTACGATATTTTCCCTATTCTTATTATTTTTCATATTTAATTGTCAATATAGTTTTTTTTTTTCACTTCCATATAGTTTCGTAACTTTAAAAAGTTTTTAATCTATTTGAAAATCAAGACTGAAACTAATGTATTTCGTTCTCTTTCGACTCTCCACACGCGTAATGGTGAAAGCATGCAAAGTGTTGCCGAAGAGAGTTCTGCTCTATGCCACCTGTAGCCCATTTCGATCGCCAATAAACTTTGTAGTAAAGTATGTATTTTTCAAAATTTGGATTATTGTAGAGTAGTATATATATATTATTTTACAGCTGGTGTTTAACAACTTACCCAATTCTGATTTTACAACTATTAATGTTCAACTCCGTAGCCTTTGAACCCAATCCAGAATACAACATAACTCCTGGATTCCATTAAAGAATAAAGGTTCAATAAAATTCCATTCAAGTGAAGAAATAAATTATACTAAGGATGATCGATTTCAAAAATTGCTTTCTACTTTCTTAGTCATTTTAATTCCATATAAAGTATAATGAAAAAAAAAGCACAACCATATCTAGAAATTGAACACATCATTTGTAAGTCATGCAAATTTAGTTATTAGAATCAATCTTAGTTTGTGCGTACAATTTTTTTTTCTCCTTTAACAGACCATATTTTGTCTGTTGTACTGATCATCTTTACTTCTGTTCATAGTTGCCATTATATTTATCATCTTTCACTTGTAAAAACTACACTATGTTTGTTCAATGGATCATCTGCCTCCCTGGATGCCTCCCACAGGAGGCGGGACGGGGTTAAGCCAAGCTTCTCCTTTAACAGATGGAGAAAATTAACTGATAAAAAGTCCATGTTTTGTTGACTGATGTAATGTTACTAGTGTCTTCCATTTCCTCCTCAAAAAAAATTTATCACCTTTAATAACGGTTCAGAAGGTTATCCTCAAATAAGCAAATTTATTTGGGCTATTATTAAATAAAGTTAAGGAGTAAGACACAAAATCGTACAGTCACTGAACAAACAAACCTTTTTTTCCTCGATGAATTCAAATTTTTGATTTATAAATCTAAACATTAAGTCCCAATATATATTTATAGGGTTAACTATAAGTACAGTCAGGAGAGCAATCGAAAATTAAGAATCCTTCCTTTACATAAATTTCACATCCTGTATAATTCGTTTGATCTCGGGAACTTTCCTGGAAATTACAGTTGAAACTCAATAAAACAACTCCAATCTAAACAAAAATGGAGATTAAAACATGAGATTGCCGTATCATAAGTGCATAAAAATGTTTTAAATATTTATTTACATTAACATTACAAAAATATATACTAGCAGAGTTTGATCCAGGAGGTAATCAGTGCCGCCTTTGTAGTTCCTTTTATAAAATTCAAATTCTAAAAAATGGCCACTGCACAAAGTTTAAACTTAAAAAATAAAATGGCCGATTCACAAAATTCTAATTTATGAAAACGCCCCTTCACTAATTGGTAGAAACAGCCCTTTCACTAAATTTCACTTTATAAAAATGATTGCACAGAATAGTTATACGGCGGGTTCTCGAAAGAAAAAAAACAATCAGAAAGCAACATGATTTTTTTAAGTCCATCTCATCATTGTGAATTGAAGGCATATGAGTAGTAGTAGGGGGGGAGGCACATGCCTTCTCAATGAATTTTCAAAATATTTTAAAAGAAAACACCAAAAAACTTTTTTTTGTTAAATAAAAAACTAATGACTTCAGATTGTTTAATAATTATTCAACAAAATAATTCTATATTTATCACTTTTTGGTGTAAGTGGTATCTTCAAAACCATTTNGAAAAAAAAAAAAACTTGCCTCGGCAATGTAAACGAAGCCATCTTGATATTATGCAGAGTGCTCATATATAATTTTAAAATCATCTTTAAGAATTAAGTTTTTTAAAAAAAATACAAATTAAGGATCGCAAACTACTATTTAAGAGCGGGTTAAAACTATATGGAAATCTTAAGAATCAATATTAAGATGAAAGTAATTGAAAACTTTAAAACCAGTTTGGTTTCATTTTATTTTACAACCGTCGTTTAACAGCCGACCCAATGTTTGCGTTTACTACTACTAATGTTCAACTCCGTAGCCATGTAATTTTGAACCCAATCTAGAAGGCAAGGGAACTCTTGGATCAAGCAGTGGGAGAAATTTGCCTTCGTAGAGGACTTTTGATTAAACTAACCTACAATTGCGTTACACGGAGAGGAAAACTACGAAAAACTGCCACGATTAGCCTGGGGATTCTCACCCATGATCAGTCTACCTCTGAGGATTTTACGTCAGCACTGTGGTCGGTGCGGAATTCGTATCGACCAGCCATCGCTGAGAATCGAACTCGGATCACGTCATTGGGAGGCGAGTGCTCTATCCTATAAGTCACTACGGCTCCACACTTTATTCAGGGATTTAAAATGATTTATACCATCGTGACGTTTAAATAAGTTATAGTTAAGTAAAATAAAATGTAAAAGAAAATAAAACAAACGTTTCAAATTTGAGAACACCCAACAGATTTTTACATGTTTACCTAATTAAGAAAAATAATATTTAATAAATATGATTAAGTCGTTTTCTGAAAAAAATTGAAAACTTTTTTTTTTAAAGAAAATCGACGAAGAAAAAAAATGATTTTAGATATAATTAAAAAACGTAGTTTATTGCAAGATCTTTAATAATCAAATATTTTTTGGTTTGTTTCAAACTCAAGGAGCAACATAAATGACATTTTATCGTAAGGTTTAATCGAAAACCATATATCGTGTTTATAGTTACGCTTTTGTAAATGCAGATGTAGCTGTGCAATGTTCAGGTGTGATTCATTGTGGAAATCAACAGAATAAGCTGTAAATACAATTATTACATTAATATCGATAAGAAAAAAAACTAAGTTGTGGTGAGTCGTAAGTTTGTAAATTATTTTAGTTGAAGAAATATAACTATCCCTAAAAAGTACTTTGATAGCTGGCCTGTTAGTTTAGAATGACTAATTAATTTTTTTAAATAAAAATATTTTGTTTTAAACTATAGTAGAATACAAAAAAAGAAAAAATATATATAGTGCATGAAAACAACATTTTGACAAAGAAATGTTTCATTCATTTACAAGTTTCTTTTTTTTCAGTACATTTTTAATAAAAATAGTGTTATTAAAAAAAAAATTATAAATTTTTTTTTTTTTTTTTTTAAACTTTTGAACATTTCATATTTTTGTATTCTATGCTTGATTACTGTACATGTAATGTATGAAACACTAAAATTTATTCAGGGATTATAAAATTATTTGTATCATAGAAACGACTAAAACCATGCAAAATGTTACCACCTTATAAGTAACTACTATATGAATTTCGAAGCAGATTCAATTAGCCCGTTGATCCCCCACTTTAAAGTAACTAAATATTTATTCGAATGAAATTATATATATTTTTTAAAAATATTAATACAAAAAGATTAATATAAACACTTCCTAATCTTTAACAAATGATTAAGGCTCTTAACTCACCGCTACGCATTTTCTTAAAATAGAATAATAACACTGGGGATCTGATTTTCTGTCGAATTTGAGTGCTTGATTTCACCGAATTCGGATAAGAGGATTTTAAATAGTAAGCTACAGATGTCCGCGCCATATGTTCGTAAAGCTACTGATCTTTTTTTCTCGAAAATGTATTTTTGGTTCAGTTCATTTTTTCGTCATCCCTGAGGCAGAATCGCGGCGACATGGTCGCAAAACGTTATAGAGTTCTTGCAGAAAGATTTTTCTTTTGTAAAGAAAAAAAATAAATTCTGCAGAAGTTTACACGTAAAATTTGAATTACGCATTTAAATAATCACTTTATGTTGCGTTCAATTTACGCCGATAGTATCGTAAATCCATGTAGTGTTTCGATTCCATTTTCGGCAGTTATTGATTTTCACTTGGCTTTAAATTATCCTGATATATTTAAGACGATATGGGAAATTCGAATCATTTTTAGAACGCGAAATTACTACAATTAAAATAAAAGTTATGATTGTACTAGGCTTACTTAACCAATAAATAATATCAAGGATTTTCTAAGTAGAAAATACACGGAGCGACATATTCCAGGACAATTGGGTTCGGTGAAGAAGGGTACCAACTAACGCATGCGCGATCGCTCTGTCCTGGACAAGTTATTAAATTACGGTGACAAGTTATTAAATTACGATGATGCAGCGAATTCTGGTCCTATTTGAATACAATTATTGATAATAATCAACAAAAAATTGACGTAAAATTAAAATAATTTAACTAAAAGCCTTCGGTTTAGCAAATACTTAAAGTGGAGGAGCCCCTAGCGGCGTACAGTTACTCTTTCGGTAATATGTTAGTTTTCAATCCGTTTGAAGTACAGCGCCCTACTTCCCCTTCGAGTTGGTTTTTTTACACCTTTTGGATATGCATTAGAAAGAAAGATTTTTTTCTTTTTATTATTATAAGTAGTAGTAAAAAACAAAATAAGAAACAGAAAAATAAATGCTTCGTTTAAAAAACTTTTATTTACTATGTTACAAGTGTACACTTTTTTCGCCATGATGGTCCATTAAATTGCTTGTTGAGAAATATTACAAATAATATATAAAACTAAGCTTTGCTACACAACAAACATACAATCTGATAATTTGAAACAATTTTCCATGAAAAGTCTCGTATATTTTCCTGATGAATACCAACCAATGTGAGTCCAGATATAATATGTATTTTAAATATATGTGTTTTATGTATTTTAAATATATGTAAATGTGAACAATAGGGTTTTTGTAAGCCATTAAATTAACCAGCTAAAAGAACTTCATTCTCCCCTTACAAGATAAAATTTTCCTCCAGTGTTGAAAATTACATGGATATTCAATTTCAGTGAAATTTATTAAATTGATGCTCTCTTCTTCGAAGTAGTTCGCAGATGGGCATAATATATGATGGGGTGATTCATAATGAGCCCTGTTAATCAGCCAAGGCGTTAATTTTGCCGCCAACCTAAATCAGGAACTGCAGGAGATACCTATCCTTCTGCACAACTTCTTAAAATACAGTCAAAATGGACAGTACTTTTTATCAGGTTAAGGAGAACAAAACATATTCAAATAGTAATAATAAATAAATAAAAAAGAATGCTTCAAGCATAGCTGCATGCGTGAAGAGGCAACTGTCCAGAAAATTTCACGAAATGAAGTAAACTTCATGTTACATAATAACTGAAGTATTTAGGACACTTTCTGACTTCTTCACATAAATTATAACATAGGGTCAGGTGGGGTAAAGTGGGTACATGAGGGAAAATGGACTAATGTTTAAAAAAAAAAAAAAAAAAACACTTTCTCCTTTTAAATGGAGATAATTCGGTTAATATTTTTAGAGACCCGAAACGAAACCTAATTTTGATCAACATGGAACTCTTTCATTTGATTAACGAAAAAAAAAAGTATTTTTAGCACTTATTCCTTTAAATATATTCAACATACAATTATTTAAAAGCATTTCCATTTCTAAAACAATATTTACATGTGTTTTTAATGAAACATGTATTTTTAGAACTATACCCACTTTACCCCGCTTTGGGGTAAAATGGGTACATCAAACATGTTCGTTTAAATTCTTTACTGTAAGAAAACAATTAAACTAATTTAATAAATTATGCATGATATTTAATCAATATGCATTTTATGTACATAAAATGCATTAAAATTTCTCATAAAATAAATTTAATAATTTGATTTTATAGCCTTCTTTTAAAGAAGGTTGATTTTCAGGGGTCTGTATATGCCAAATTTACTTCCCAAATCAACTTTAGGAAAAAATATTTTTTCTTAAAAAAAAAATTTTGTATCCCGTAAGAAACCATAAATCCATATTTTCACCATATTTTTGTGTTGATTTTTTAATATAATTTCTAATTTTCACAAATTAGGTACCTCTCAGAAAAACTTAGACTCCTGATTTTATACCTGCTTTTCCCACCTGAGCCTACAATTTTGAAATTCTACTTTCGCTTATTTCTGCTTCTTAAACTGGATTGCAACGCTATGTTCTAATGTAGGGCCATTCTTAACTAATGTGCCATAAAGGTTAGAAAACACACTGTTGTGGTTCAAAATTAGCATTATAAAAATGCATGGTAGAATCTATTTAAAAGTAATGATGAAAAATTATAATAAACTAAAATATATAAATAAATTTTAACAAATATTAGCTATAGTTTGTCTAAAGTAAGAACTCCCCTAACCATTCATCTGGACCTGTGGCGGTGACTATGGTAACGAGGTATAACTATTTCAATTAAGAGTGTGGGTTCATTGTTTAGGACAGGTTATGGTTTAAGTCGTTGAGAGAAAGGGAATCTTTCTTTTCGGTCTACTGTGCTAGCCTTAGAGTGAAGAGAAGCTACCCTCCCTGAAATGCGCTTTTATTTCCATAGTAGCAGACGGCCTTTAGACTTTGAGGCAGGGGGAGTTTTCACTGTAAACAAACTATACAATATTTCAAAGCAAATATTATTGCAACAAATTTAGAGTTATAGAAAAGAAGCATACATAAAAGTGTTCTCATTCACCTTAAAAGCTATTTTTTACTAATATTCAGAACCAAAACTTGTCACTTTAGCTAATACACAATGAAATTTATGTAATGATTGTGATTAGAATTTTGAAATTATAATGAATCACCCATCTTTTCGTTTCTCGAAATTCTGTGAGAAATTACATTTTGCTACAAACACTGATCCCATTTCCTTAAACAAAATGTACAGAATGAAATAATTTCAATGCAATTCTCTGAGAAAGACAATTAGAATCATTTTTATAGAACAAAAGGTAGGAAGATTTTTCTGAATTTTCATATTTTAATTAACAATTTAGAAAGATTAAGAGCAAAGGTAAAAGGCTTTGGGCGATACTCTTGCAGGGTGCATAGCCAGATTTTTCAACAAAAAATAAGCACCTTTTAAGTACTCAAAAAATATTTTTAATCACTTTCCAAAAAACAAAAAAATCATAATTAGGATCTGTGCAGTAATAAAAAAAAATTGTATCGTTTAAAGTTCTTAATTTATAAACGCAAAATCAATAAAATAAATAAATATTGTAGAAAATTTTTTGAAAATCGCGCATTTTTTGTAACTTAGAGCAACAATCGATGTGACAAAGAAAAAATTCCCTTTTTAAAAGTTTGAAAATTACGCACTTTTTACAAACACCGACTAAATAAAGCAGCTTCAAAGGCTTTTAAAAATGCTATGCACCCTGTCTTGGACCACAAGCCAAAGTTGCATATTCCTGCTGCAAAGTAGATATCCAACCTCTTATTTTATAATTATTTGCTTTCTTTTGTGTTATTCTCACCCTGTATAATATTTAGTCATTATGAAACATCCTGTATCATATAGATAAATAGAAGTGCAAAAAACTCAACCAAAGTTCATCAAAATATTTAAAAAATATCATTCCTAACCAAATGGTGAAAGATCTATTTAACATATATTGCAAAATTTTCCCTACAGACATGAATTAAGATTTTTTGGGAGCATGAATAAGGATGTGCCTGTTTAAATTACTGTTTTTCGAAAAACTCTTCTTACATATGTTACAAGCGAAAGGTTTTTCACCTGTATGAACTACTCTGTGTTTATTTAGACCACCATTCGTTGAAAAACCTTTGTTACATATACTGCAAGAATAAGGTTTCTCACCAGTATGAATAATGTTGTGTCTTATCAAATCACTTTTAAATGAAAAACTCCGATCACATACGCCGCAAGGATATGGTTTTACAACAGAANGTTCAAAATTAGCATTATAAAAATGCATGATAGAATCTATTTAAAAGTAATATGATGAAAAATTATAATAAACTAAAATATATAAATAAATTTCAACAAATATTAGCTATAGTTTGTCTAAAGTAAGAACTCCCCTAACCATGTACCTGTGGCGGTGACTATGGTAACGAGGTATAACTATTTCAATTAAGAGTGTGGGTTCATTGTTTAGGACAGGTTATGGTTCAGGTCGTTGAGAGAAAGGGAATCTTTTTCTTCGGTCTACTGTGTTAGCCCTAGAGTGAAGAGAAGCTACCCTCCCTGAAATGCGCTCTTATTTCCACAGTAGCAGACGGCCTTTAGACTTAGATGCAGGATGAGTTCTTACTGTAAACAAACTATACAATATTTCAAAGCAAATATTATTGCAACAAATTTAGAGCTATAGAAAAGAAGTATAAACAAAAGTGTTCTCATTCACCTTAAAAGTTATTTTTTACCAATATTCAGAACCAAAACTTGTCACTTTTACTAATACACAATGAAATTTATGTAATGATTGTGATTAGAATTTTGAAATTATAATTAATCATCCATCTTTTCGTTTCTTGAAATTCTGTAAGAAATTACATTTTGCTACAAACACTGAACCCATTTCCTTAAACAAAATGTACAGAATGAAATAATTTCAATACGATTCTCTGAGAAAGACAATTAGAATCACTTTTATAGAACAAGAGGTAGGAAGATTTTTCTGAATTTTCATATTTTAATGAACAATTTAGACAGATTAAGAGCAAAGGTAAAAGGCTTTGGGGGATACTCTTGCAGGGTGTGTAACCAGATTTTTCAACAAAAAATAAGTGCCTTTTAAGTACTCAAAAAATATTTTTAATCACTCTTCAAAAGAAAAAATCATAATTAGGATCTGTGCAGTAATAAAAAAAAAATTTCTATCTTTAAAGTTCTTAATTTATAAACTCAAAATCAATAAAATAAATAAATATTGCAGAAAATTTTTTGAAAATCATGAATTTTTTGTAGCTTAGAGCGACAATCGATGCAACAAAGAAAAAATCTCTATTTAAAAGATTGAAAATTAAGCACTTTTTACAAACACTGACTAAATAAAGCACCTTCAAGGGCTTTTAAAAAATATAAATCAAAAATCAGCACTTTTTAAAAATGCTATGCACCTTGTCTTGGCCCACAAGCCAAAGTTACATATTCCTGTTGCAAAGTAGATATCCAACCTCTTATTTTATAATTATTTGCTTTCTTTTGTGTTATTCTCACCCTGTATAATATTTAGTCATTATGAAACACTCTGTATCATAATGATAAATAGAAGTGCAAAAGTTCATCAAAATATTAAAAAAATATCATTCCTAACCAAATGGTGAAAGATCTATTTAACATATAATGCAAAATTTTCACTACAGACATGAATTAAGATTTTTTGGGAGCATGAATAAGGATGTGCCTGTTTAAATTACTGTTTTTCGAAAAACTCTTCTTACATATGTTACAAGCGAAAGGTTTTTCACCTGTATGAACTACTCTGTGTTTATTTAGACCACCATTCGTTGAAAAACCTTTGTTACATATACTGCAAGAATAAGGTTTCTCACCAGTATGAATAATGTTGTGTCTTATCAAATCACTTTTAAATGAAAAACTCCGATCACATACGCCACAAGGATATGGTTTTACAACAGAATGTTTTTCAGGATCAGGTGTTTCATTAGTATGGCTGGACTTGTGCTTAATGAAGTCAGTATTTCTTGCATAACTTTTATTGCATATATTGCAAGTAAAGATTTTTTCACCATGCTGAGAAAATCTGTGATAAGTTAAAGTGCTGCTTGATGCAAAACTGTCGCCACATTCATTGCAAGAATAAGTTTTTTCACTGTGATAGGAACATTTGTGGTGAGTTAAAGTACGGCTTGCTGCAAAACTTTTGCCGCAAACATTGCAAGGATAAGGTTTTTCACCTGAATGAACAAGGTAATGCACAGTTAAATGAGAATTTCTAGCAAAACTTTTATTACATACAGTACAGGAATAAGGTTTTTCTCCTGTATGGGAATATCTGTGGGTAGTTAAACTACTGCTTGATGCAAACCTTTTACTGCATATATTACAAGAATAAGGTTTTATTCCAAGATGAATAAGGTTGTGTTGAATTAAATCCCCTCTTCTTGAAAAACTCTTGCCACATAAAGTACAAGAAAAAGGTTTTTCCCCAGTATGAACAACATAGTGTTTATTTAAACCACTGGATGTTGAAAACCTTTTATTACACACACCACAAGAATGAGGTTTCTCGCCAGTATGGACAAGGTTGTGCTTGTTTAAATCGCCTTTAGTAGAAAAACTTCTTTTACAAATACTACAACAGTAAGGTTTTATTCCGGTGTGTACTGCGGTGTGCGTAATTAAATGGGATCGTTGAGAAAAACTTTTATGACATACGCTACAAGGATAAGGCTTTTCACCTGTATGAATACGTTTATGTATAGTTAAGTCACGGGTTGCTGAAAAAATCTTATTGCAAAAATTACAAACGTGAACTTTCTCGCCTGAATGAATACGTTTGTGAACATTTAAATCACGGTTTGATGGAAAAACTTTATCACATGATCTACAAGAATAAAGTTTTTTATTAGTATGAATAAATCTATGAGTTAGCAAATTATGTTTCTGAGAAAAACTCTTATTACATACATTGCAAGTATAAGATTTTTCTTGAGTGTCCTCATAACTATCGTTAACTAAGGCGAAATCGTGCTCAAAACTTTCATCAGACATGTTACTAGAATAGTTAAAAAGTCCCCATGACAAAACAGGAAAAATTATTATTTTCAAATTTTTTATTACGTATACTATTGTTTTCTACGTACACAACAAAATTTTAAATTAATCATTCGGAACAAAATTTTATAATAATAGAAATGATATGCAAAAATGAGAAATAAATTTAAATTTTCTTAAAAAAGATCAGTTACAGAAATTATCAACTTAATACTCAAGCTTTATAGTGGCACTAAAATTTTTCATTCTAAATAACGGGAACAAGATGAAGGGATGAAAAACGGAGCTTATCAGTCCCGTGATATATTTTCAAAACATTAAATCATTGAGAAAAAAATTAAATAAATGACGCTATTTTTAATTGTTTGTAAGTGAAACAGAAACATAACTAGCAATAAACGTGTTAGACACAATGGTTTGAAGCATGTAGGTAGGTTTTTAAAATTCAAACTGCAGTTGGTCACAAAATTTACATTCCCAGCAAGTAAAGGTAGATGACTGTAATGATACACTTCAGTAGGATTTAATTAAAGGTTAGAAGATTAATTTGACGTTACTCCAAATAATTATTTTCAAGTCCATTGCTAAGAATAATGTTGAGTCCAAAGACTTTACGGCAGTGACCTGAAAATAGAAAAATGAAGGATAAATTACACAGTATCCTAAAAAAAGATATGACTGAAATAAAGGTAGATTAGGTAAAAAAAAAATCTTAGCATAAACAAAAAACACTCTGAATTTAATGAATTTTAAATTTTCTAACCTTTTAGAAATTAGAATGTTTAATGCGAGGGAACAGTTTTTTTTTTTTTTATAAAAAAAAGCAGATTGAATTGGTTTGGTCTTGTTCACAGAGTAACCAAGGAAAATTAATATCTGAAGCACTTTCATGGGCTCCAGGTAAGGTTGGCAAGTTTTTGACAATTGACAGTTTTATCCGGTTTTAACAGTGGTTTTATCCATCATGTCCAAAAAAACTTTTTGACAATTGTCAAAACTTGAGCCGCAATGGCTCTGGGGAACCTTTCAATGACGTGAACCCGGTTCGAATCTGGCTTGCACCAACCACAGTGCTGACATGAAATATCCTCAGGTAGATCATGGGTTAGAGTGCCCTTGCTGTAAGGTTAACCGTGAGAGGTTCTCACGGCTTCTTCTTCATGTAACGAAAATGCGTGTTAGTTCCATCAATAAGTCCTTCACAAAGGCGAATTTTTCCCAATACTTTATCCAGGAGTTCCCTTGTCTTCTGGGTTCGGTTCAAAATTACAAGGCTACGTAGTTGAACATTAGTAGTTGTGAACCCAAAAATTTGGTCGGCTGTTCAACGACAATCATTAAGTGTCAATACTTCAAAATTTTAGTGTATATTAGCTACTATAAATAAGAATTATTTATAAATAAACATGCATAGAAAATAACAAATAATCAATCAATTATATTCTTGAATTATTTTGATATTGAACTCTCCTTTGACAATTACTGTCAAAAACCCAAACCATAAAATTGCACAAAATTAAAATCTATCCAATCTGTTCATTCGTTAAAATATTTCAAATTAAAATACTTAAACATTCAGCTGGATAAAAATAAAAAAACACTCAACAATCATTCTATTCATTATATCTAAATCATTTTCATTTACTCCCATTTTGATTTATTTTCCCAAAAACATACAACTACAAAAAAAAAAGTTTTGAAATCTTTTGTATTTCAAATTCATTTTTCAGTTTCGTATGAATAAGACCGAAATTCGAAACTATTCCTTCGATTGATGATGAGCTGCATAAACTAGAAAGTAGAGGTACTAAGCTTTTATAACATAATAAAATAATGAGCAACTTGGAGATTTATTTTAATAACTACACTAAATATTAATAGTAATTTAGTTAAACCCTTGAATTGATTGATTGAAAAAATTATTAATTCATTTAAATATTTATATTTTTTTATAAATTATAATTAGTTCATTAATCAATAAGCTGTGGTTAATAGAAATATGATTAATAGAAAAAAATTGTGTTCTATTAATCCTAGTGTAAAAAGTGTGATCATATTTGTGATTCAGGAGTAATTTAAAAAACAAACTCAAAAGAATAATAGCTGAGAAAAATATAACTTGATCACTAATTTTCTTTATTTTTTTATTTTAAAGAATTTTCCTCAATTGATTACATAATTAATTTTGAGTAATAATAAATTATTATTTGATAGGATGAGAGACTAGGTTTAAAATGTGTTTAAGGAAAAATGTGCAGTACAATCTCGCTATGCATAAATGAATGAAAAATGAGAATTTTATTCTGAAAATATACAGGAATTATATACATTAATATTACATTAATATATAATTTACATTAATATATTACTCAAACTTACACAATACACGAAAAACATATTCTAAGGATGCGAAAGCATAGCTTGGTGGCATATATTGAGGTTTTGTACTTTTATAATACTTGCACCAGACATGATTAATATTACAATGATATTTTCATACATCTTTTCAGAAACTTAATTTGTTTATAGTTTTATAATAACTATTTCGATGTCATGAATATCATATGGCATGAATATTTGACATGGATATCGTTCAAACAAAAAATAAAATAAATGCTAATTGTTAACATTTTAATTGAATCAAGTTATTGGAATAACTAATTTAATTACTAAAAAATATAATTTTAATTTGTATCCTGTTATATTAATGACAAGCTAATAAAATCTCCAATGAAACTAAAATTAGTCATCAGAAAAAATACATGTTTAATCAAAATAAAGTCGTCATTAAAAAAAAAAAAANCAAGGATAATGGGCAAGGTTGACAAGTTTTTGACAATTGACAGTTCTATCTGGTAATAACCATTGTTTTATCCATCACGTCAAAAAAAACTTTTTGAGAAGTGCCAAAACTTGAGCCACAATGATTTAGGGGAACCTTCCAATGAGGTGAACCCGGTTCGAATCCCAGCGATGGCTGGTGGATACGAATTTTACATCCGGCTTGCACCGACCACAGTGCTGACATGAAATATCCACAGTGGTAGACGGACCATGGGTAACCGTGCCCTTGCCATCAGGCAAATCGTGAGAGGTTCTCATGGTCTTCCTCTCCATGTAACGCAAATGTGTGTTAGTTCGTTCAATAAGTCCTCCACGAAGGCAAATTTCTCCCAATACTTGATCCAGGAGATCTTCTGGATTGGGTTCAAAATTACAAAGCTGCGTAGTTGAACATTGGTAGTCATAAGCCCAATAATTTGGTCAGCAGTTCAACGACGATTATAAAGTGTCAAAACTTCACAATTTTAGTGTAAGGATAATTATTAGCAATTACAAATAAGAATTATTTATAAATAAACATTTACATAGAAAATTACAAATGATCAATCAATTATATTCTTGAATTATTTTGATATTGAACTCTCCTTTTGACAATTACTGTCAAAAACCCAAATTTATACCCAAACCATAAAATTGCATAAAATTAAAATCTATCCAATCTGTTCATTTGTGAAAATATTTCAAATTAAAATACTTAAACAATCAGCTGGATAAAAATAAAAAAAAACACTCAACAATCACCTTATTCATTATATATAAAATCATTTTCATTTACTCCCATTTTGACTCCCCTTTTCCCAAAAACATACAACTACAAAAAAAAAAAAAAGTTTTGAAATCTTTTGTATTTCAAATTCATTTTTCCTTTTTATATGAATTTGACCAAAATTTAAAACTATTCCTTCAATTGATGCTGAGCTGCATAGACTAGAAAGTAGAAGTACTAAAACTATTATAACATAATAAAATAACAAGCAACTTGGAAATTTATTTTAATAACTGTACTAAATGTTAATAGTAATTTAGTCAAACCCTTGAATTGATTGATTGAAAAAATTATTAATTCATTTAAATATTTATATTTTTTATAAATTATAATTAGTTCATTAATCAGCAAGCTAATACATTAATAGCATTAGTTCACTAATATTTGAAATATTCATGTTACATATAAGCAGGAGTAGAGAAAATTCTCAGAGCCTAATATTACCCACGAATAAGGATTTTTTTATTTTGGAACAAAATTTCCCCCAAAATGTTAGCTTTCTTTAAAAATATACGTTTTTGGATAATAAAGTTTAAAAGATGTTGATAAAATAGTATTTATCAGATTAACTGAAATCACGCAATACTAATGAAACAATTCACTAATACTTCTGTGTTCTACACTTATAATTTTACATGCAGCACAGTATTTCTATGATAGCAATACTTCTTTTCATTAATTTTCTTGGGCAATTTGATGTTTCAAGAGTGTGGTTAATAGAAATATGATTAATAGAAAAAAATTGTGTTCTATTAATCATAGTGTAAAAAGTGTGATCATATTTGTGATTCAGGAATAATTTAACAAAACAAACTCAAAAGAATAACAGCTGAGAAAAATATAACTTGTAAACTAATTTTTATTTTTTTATTCTAAAGAATTTTCTTCAATTGATTACATAATTAATTTTGAGTAATAATAAATTATTATTTGATAGGATGAGAGACTAGGTTTAAAATGTGTTTAAGGAAAAATGTGCAGTACAATCTCGCTATGCATAAATGAATAAAAAATGAGAATTTTATTCTGAAAATATACAGGAATTATATACATTAATATTACATTAATATATTACTCAAACTTACGCAATACACGAAAAAACATATTCTAAGGATGCGAAAGCATAGCTTGGTGGCATATATTGAGTTTTTGTACTTTTATAATACTTGCACCAGACATGATTAATAATACAATGATATTTTCATACATCTTTTCAGAAACTTAATTTGTTTATAGTTTTATTATAACTATTTTGATGTCATGAATATCACATGGCATGAATATTTGACATGGATATCGTTCAAACAAAAAATAAAATAAATGCTAATTGTTAACATTTTAATTGAATCAAGTTATTGGAATAACTAATTTAATTACTAAAAAATATAATTTTAATTTGTATCCTGTTATATTAATGACAAGCTAATAAAATCTCCAATGAAACTAAAATTAGTCATCAGAAAAAATACATGTTTAATCAAAATAAAGTCGTCATTAAAAAAAAAAAAAAAAACACTGTAAATTTGTCTTATACCAATATGCCCCAAGGCAAAGTTTTTTTATTTATTTGCTTTTTAAGAAAAGGGTTAATAATTAAAATACGACAATACGTTTTCAAACATAGAAAAACACTGAACTTACCTCTGTTTGACAGAAAATTTTTGATGAAATATTGCAGACATCTTTTATTGCCTTATGATAAATTCCAAACTATTTTAAGGTATTGCTTGATTTCATACAATGATACACAGAACAGAATATCAATAAAATTGTAAACCTTTTCCCTTAACAGGAATGTTAATGTACTTGCTCCCTTAATTGCACAGAATTCAACATAGAGGAAATTCAATTCTAAACAAATAGCAGACCTTCGTTTTTTCAAGGCATACGGTTAAACGTTATTCTCGATTCAAGCTATTTTGCGATTCAGGCTCTTTCGTGGTGACGTAAAATTTCTAGTTCTAAAGTGATACGCTGCACTCTTGTGGCGCTAGTGAGAATAAGACACTCAATTTTGGCTAAGTTTCACCACGCTTTCGGGAATAGCACTGCTTTTCTTCACAGGAAAATTGAGTAAATAAAATTTGATCTGAACACCCAAAGATGTATATTGCTAGTAAAGTTTCTTTTCCAAAAGTACCAAATAAGGCTTTGCTTCTTTTAAACAATAAAAATGAATTAAAATGTCCTATGGATGGGTGATCGTGTAAAGCTAA